TCCAGGAAAAAGTAACTAAGTGTTGTATTTTCACACATAACTGCATGGGGTTTGAACCAGGTTTGCCTGGACTGAACACCGCGTGTATACCTCTACACCATCAGTGATTGTGACCTGACCTGCATTATTGGCGTATTTGACATTCACTTTCAAGGGTTTCCAGGAAAAGGTAACTGTTGTATTTTCACAAATAACTGAGCAGGGTTTGAACCGGGGTTGCCTGGACCGAACACCAACGTGTATACCTCTAGACTACCAGTGACTTTGACTCGTCCTGCACTATAGGCGTATTTGACATGAACTTTGGAGGGTTTCCAGGAAAAATTAAGTGTTGTATTTTCACACATAACTGAGCGGGGTTTGAACCGGGGTTGCCTGGACTGCACACCGCGTGTATACGTCTACACCACCAGTATCTGTGACTTGTCCTGCAGTTTAGGCGTATTTGACATGCACATTCAAGGGTTTCCAGGAAAAAGTAACTAAGTGTTGTATTTTCATGAGCAGGGTTTGAACCGGGGTTGCCTGGACTGAACACCGCGTGTATACCTCTACACCACCAGTGACTGTGACCTGTCTAGCATTATAGGCGTATTTGACATTCACTTTCAAGGGTTTCCAGGAAAAAGTAATTATGTGTTGTATTTTCACAAATAACTGAGCAGGGTTTGAACCGGGGTTGCCTGGACTGAACGCCAGCGTGTCTACCTCTACACCACCAGTGACTGTGACCTGTCCTGCACTATAGACGTATTTGACATGTACACTCAGGCATTTTTGGCCAAAAACAAAATGACCATGTATAGTAAGGCCTTTTTAGCCTCTAAAAAACGACCATGTATAGTAAGGCGTTTTTAGCTGAAAAAATAACCGAAAAAAATAACCATGTATAGTAAGGCGTTTTTAGCCTCCAAAAAAACGACCATGTATCGTAAAGCGTTTTTGGACCAAAAAAACTACCATGTATAGTAAGGCATTTTTGGCCGAAAAAAAATGACCATGTATAGGACGGCGTTTTTAGCTAAAAAAAAAATAACCGAAAAAAATAACCATGTATACTAAGACGTTTTTAGCCTCC